TATATATATATGTAGTTAGTGTATTGAAAAGTTAAGGATGTGTGTGTAGTTGTCACACATGATAAATGCGTTTAAAAGTTGTATCTGCTTTAATTGTACTTTTGCACTACCCGTGTTGCTTCTGCAGCGTTGATCTTGCTGCATCCTGTTGTTTAAAATAGTTGTGCCAGTATAAATTCCTGTTTAAGCAGACATTCTTTTGGGACAGAATGCAGTCATCTACATATATCAGTGTAGGCATATACCTTTCATAACTATTATAAATTGTCATACATAACATTGATCAAGAGAAGTAAAGGAATATAAAATAATTGTATGTATTAAATATTTAAATTTTGAAAGTATTTGATAATCTGTTGCACACTCTCAGTATTTCCTTTTGAGTTACTTTGTACAGAAGATTGCAAGAATTCAATTGTAATTTAATTATTTTGGTTTGTATTTTTTTTAAAAAAGATTTATGCGTCATTTCAAATGATTAACTCCCCCTAATTATGTGTCACCCAATAAGGTTCATAATCATTGCATATGCTTTCACATTTATTAGTATTAAGATGTGACAGTAGGATATAAAGTAACATGCACCTAAGAAAAATGTGCTTGTCATTACACTGCATTTGGCAATGCTGTTATTATAACTCTAGTTCTTCACAATGTGTTTAGATGTCTAGACAAATGTTTTATCCTATAACAGGCTTATCTCCATGGCCTATGGACAAATTGGCATGATTCAAGCAGCTGCTGGCTTCTTCGTTTATTTTGTCATCATGGCAGAAAATGGCTTCTTACCTCAGGATCTTTTTGGAATCCGAAAAATGTGGGATTCAAAGGCTGTCAATGACCTTACGGATTCTTATGGTCAAGAATGGGTAAGTTCATGCTTGTTTAAAAAATGTGCAATAAGGTCACGCTTTCAGCATTAAACAGTAGGATAACTTTCAAAGACTCTTTTGCCTGCCTTTGTTTTATAAAGAATACACTTTCCAAGCGTGTTGTAAAACAATATTTCCAGTTGAGGTAAAAGTGTACTAAGATGTGATTCATTGAATTATTTATTCATACCAAATGGTTAAATATGTTGTTATTTTTGCAGACATATCGCGATAGGAAGCAGCTGGAGTACACTTGTCACACAGCTTTCTTTGTGACCATTGTGGTTGTACAGTGGGCTGATTTGATTATCTGCAAAACACGACGAAATTCCATTGTCCATCAAGGAATGAGGTATGATTCATGTCTTCTATGCTTATAAAAATGTGTTAATTTCAGTACACCATCGTAAAATTCTAACCAGTTAATTTTGATAAATGGTGACTACTTCTCAAAGAAGGTGCTGAGGAGGATGAAGTGGCTTAGAATATTGTCCAGTGATCGTCATTGGAAGCAGTGTTGTGACTGAATGTTGTGTTTGTATTTGGGAGGTCGGGGTTCAAATCTCGGCCTGGAGGCCAGTTGTAGTGACAGATTTTTATGGGATTTCCTCAGTTTCTCCAGGAAAATTCTAGGTTAGTACCTTTAACTCTGCCATGATCACTTTCTTCCACATTCTTTCAAATTCATTATTCACTCTCTTCCTCTCATTCAGTGTTATGTACTGAAAATCCATCATAAAATAAACTATAAATAAATAAATAAATACATACATACATAGGTAGTTGAGCTACTGCCAGTACATAGTTCCAAAGTTATTATTGTGAATAACTTCAGCTTTGGAGTTTGCGTCCTATTGTGTATTTAAGCTAAATAAAAATTGTATTAATAACCTTCTATAAAACTTTTATTTTGCTACTATATTTTTTTCTTAACTTCAGGTGTAGACTTAGATTTGTATTTGCCAATATTATTATGTGCATTAACTATTGCTTGTCGATGTGCGAGTTTTACAGGAATTTTCATATATATTACAGTAGAAGTTACGTAGGTGTAGAGAGCTTGTTAATATTATATTTGAAAGCTAAATATTACAATATAAGCAAGAAACATATGTGAGTTTGGCCAGTGGCTAGTTTTTAATATTAAAGTTAAGTGTGATTATTAAATTAGATTTTATGCAGGCACAAGGCTAGTCTGTGTTCTTCAAATGTCTCGGGAGGTTCAATAGCCATTTTCAGGTCATAGTTTTGAAATGTGTGTGTGTACAAGGTATTTGTTCCTTTTATGTTTGTATTTTATAGAACAAGGCTTTGTTCATATAAATTGTTCAGAATTTTTTTTGCAGTGTTTCTTGAGATGAAGAAGGTGATGTGAGTAATTCAAATACTTTATCACAAGGGATGAGGACGAAAGCTATGGTCAAAATACCATTGACAGCCTTTAATAAAGTAACGACCACATTGACTGGACATAATTTTGTAGAAATCTCCAGCTATGGTTACTTTACCATTTAGCCACGTTACTTTCCGTATGATTCACATAGTCTGTTTTGTGGAATTAATTGAATTTGGGATTTTGCAGGAACTGGGCTCTGAACTTTGGACTTGTGTTTGAGACGGCTCTGGCTGCTTTCTTATCATACTGCCCCGGCATGGATAAGGGTCTGAGGATGTACCCTTTGAAGTAAGTACAGTTGTTTAATTAGCACAACAGATTCATGACGTGAAACTTGCAAGGGATACTGATGGACAACTTCCTGTTTTACAGGTTTGTGTGGTGGCTACCAGGCCTCCCGTTCATGTTATCGATTTTCGTCTATGATGAGGTGCGTCGTTTCTACCTGCGTCGGAATCCGGGAGGCTGGCTGGAGCAAGAAACATACTATTAATCTTAGAAAAGGCAAAGCAAGCTCGCGAGTGAAGATGGGTCCCTGAACACTAGTGAAGATGGTGGTTCTGAGTTAACATTCAGCATTGTACTAGGAACTCTTGAGGGCATCCAAGTTGTTTTCTCAAAATTCAACCTGAACGCTTCGCTGGAGCCACGTTTTAGTAGGCAATTGTTAGGGACTACCACAGATGGTGCGACAAGAGGACAGACATGGGGTGGACAGGTGCCCACGTGCTAGGCAACACGAGTATGCATCGCAATGTGTTGGTGCATGTAGGACCAGGTAGAAGTGCTAGTGCAACTCAATGCTGGTGGTTCTCAGCCAGACAGCATTCTTGCTAGACTGTTTCATCATAAAGTATTTTATGAATAAGAGTAATTGGTTGTTATAACTGCAAGATGTATATGATTCTGCTGTTAAATCTACACTTTAAACTTGTTTTAGTTTGTTTAGATGAGGGTTCTAACTGTTATAAGGTATTGAGGCCATGACGTGTGTGACGGCAAGGCAAAGATACTTTTACCTTGCCGTTAGAGGTGACAGATCTGGTCTCGATAGCGTCTCGTCTGCGTAGCAAGACCCCCAGCATCACGTCCTCCAGTGGCCGGTGAGGGCGTTAGTCTCGATGCAGTCGTGAAACCCTACAAAGTTTTGGTAATAAAATTGGGATGGTTACATATATTGACATTGAAATTGAGCTATATAGATATATACTATGGAAATATATAACACATACACAAATGTTCATTTATTATAGAGTTGTATGTTGGAAGTTCTAAAAACTTTAAAAAAAACTGTCACAAATGTAACAATTGAGTGTACAAATTAAAAGCCTAATGATCCACCATTCAAGCTGGCATTGTCCGTAAGTACTTAGTGCATGGGCCGGGGAGTAGCCGCAGTCCAGCAAGGTCCCTTCCCCCTCATGCTGTTGTTCACCTTGCTCAAGTTGAGATTATCTGCTTTTGTAGCCAGCAGTTTTCCTTGTTTTTCATCAGCTCTGTCACACACAGTCTTCTCAGTAGTAGCTATCAGAAGTGTCATTGTCTTCAATTGGGCTGCGTGCTTCGACCGGGTCTAGCTACATGTGGGAAAAAAACAGACCTGGCTTATATGGTAGTCTTTCATAACATTCCAGACTTCAGAACAGTTGCCTTAATGGAAGGTGTTCTTATCGATTGAACACACACCACATAATGTTTTGCCAACATCCATTGTCAACTGTTAAGCTTCTATTACGAGTTAATTTACCTAGCTTGGTGTGAAAAGTCCCATCTGTTGCATTTAAGAAGTTGTTGAAAATACCATTACCTTGTTAGATGTGATTTCCTGTGCTGGGAAAAGCAGTACATTGCATAGTATTTTTCTCCCATTTTTTTTCTTTCTTTATGACAAGTTATTACATAGAAGAATATGAATTTTAGAATAGTGATCACCAATCAGTTGTAAGGATTGTGCTGCAATAAATGTAGGTCATACAAACCCATGCTTTAAAAAACTGGATATGTAGAAATTAGGTGTGCATTAGGTTAGTCTAACAGTGTCGTGAAAAGAGAAGGTCACTACACGAATCTAATGATTGTGTGTCTTGTTAAAAAGTGGAGGGGGGGAGGGATGAGTTGGTCTGTAAGAGAGCAGGCAGAGAGAGAGCATGGACAAGACTTGGCAACCTTGTTGGATGACACGTACCCTCCCGCTGGGTTAGCCACAGTTACGGTACTTGAAATACAACTAACCTTGGACTGGTGAATGAACAAATGAACAGTTTCTCTCCCAGCTGACGAAGAGTGGCTGGAAAGTTTGTTTCTATCAGTTTAATTATTATATTGTAAATATTTTAAATATTGAAACTCTCAACCAATATTTATGTTCTGGTTAGAACTTTTCCACCTTCTTCTTGTATTGGCTAGAGAACAAGCTATAAAATAAAGTGTCAAAAAGTTTGGGTGTCAATAAAATACACAAATAAACAGAATTCTTAAAACACACATCAGTTGGATATATTCATTGTTTGACTAGTAACCAGTTAATAAAATATTAAAATAACTCATTCTTAATAGCCAATCATCTTGATTTATGCAGACTACTTACACCCTGATCCTTGATGTGCTTGTTTCGATGTGGCAGTCTAGTGCGATGTGATGCAGTTTTGTAATAAAACGTTTATGCATATATCATTAATAAAATAGTAGACAATAAATGCAGAACAGTTCAAATACATAAGGAGTTTAGTTTTGCAATATTATATGGCATTTTGGTGAACTGCCCAGAATGTTAATTATTGTTACCTAACCCCCCCAGCTTTGACTAGAGTAATTTGAAATGAATGTGGGGTAGGAAATTACATGTAATGTTTGCAGAAATTTGATGGAATAAATACTGCAACAAAAAAACCCACGAAAACTCCAAGAGATGCATAGAACTATGACCATAAGATAAAACATTGAATGCTGATACTGAAGAACAGGTATATATGTAGGGGTGGTGGATGTAGAATGTTTTTAAACTGTCCAATGCCATATTCCAAGTAGAATATATGAGGTTCATAAGCCTAGTAGGTCCATTTGAAAAGCAAAGCTTGTATAAATAATTGTGACATATACATATTCCATCAGACAGATAAAAACTTTTTACTTGTTTTAATTTGTGAAGTAGGTTATACAGTTTGTAAGAGAAATTAATTTCCCACATGGACCTATAGAGGCAGCTTAGAATATTTTCATAGACCTCTTATCATTCATTCATTGTTGAGTGTGCAGAATCTAATACTGATTACCCTTTAATTTTCTGGAAGGAAAATCTGTTGTAATTGCCTTGTCAGTCAGTCAGGGATCATATTACTCTGTTAAACTGCCACTACAAAATTTTGTATACTCATTTATGACAGAAATATAAATATGTTCAATTTTGAGTCAGTACAGTTAACAGCCTGGTTTTTTGCTCAATTAATTTGTATATAATAAAACATCTCTGATCCAGTATCTGTTGAATTTTGAAAATATCCATTTTGTTTGTTGAAAGGAACAAAGCCAATGCGTGTATGTAGGCTTGTGTTATATTGGTAACATGATACAGTGAAGTTTTCTTGGGATATAAACCATCTTGGACCAGGACAGTTTCACTAATTTCATAAACCACAAAGGTGAGGCCATCCGTTTTTATTTCTAGCCAGTTTCTGCCCACAAGAATGCCAAGTAACGCTGGCCTTGGCTCAGGTGTTGGTGATTATATGTGCCTATTCCCTGTTTATTCATGTCTTAATAATTCCTATATTATTCCTACTGTTACTATGTTATTTCTTTCTTAAATTAAAACATTGCCTGTTGACTTTAAATACAGTTAAACTTCTGGCAGTGCAGCATTGCCTGAGAAGACTTCATTGCTGTTGTAGATTTGTTTCTTTGAATGCTGAGATGTGATGCTTTTACATCGTGGTAGCCAAAAAACAAGTTTGGAATGGTCACATCAGTGTTCTGTGTTGTTACCATGTACTTCTCTTCTTGAATTTTTTTTTTCAGTTTACTTCGGATATGAAATTCTCGTACTCTGGAAGCATCTTTGTGTTTGGTTCAAATCCAAGTATTATTGGTATGTGACAGCAGTAAAAATATATTGAAAACAAAAATGATGTTTCAGAAAGAAAAAGAAATTAATATTAAACTGCCATATGGAATAATGTTTTCCCGTATTTGAGGTACGGTGCTATACAGTACATTATGGGTGAAGTGGGTGGAAAGAAGTATGCTGTTGGCATAAGAATGTATGTTTTTATTCTAAAATGAAATTCTGAATTCATGTCTTGGATAAAAAGGAATGTTGGGCATATTGAAAATAAACATTATTTTGTTTCCATCTTACCTCACAAAACTCTGATTCATTGAAGCTCCTGTGAAAGTGGTTATTTTTCGTTTGAACATTACAAAACAATTTTATTGTACATGAGTATGTTTCTCTGATGTTCATTTGTTTCCGTGGTTCATCATAATGACTTGTGTATGTAAGCTGGTATGTGCAAAGGCTCTGTTTATTAAACTGTCTTAATATTTATCTAAAACACTTCCTTTGTTTTTGTTTTTAGTGAGAACTTGGCAAGTAATCTGGATTGAAGTGGTGTGAAAATATCAGGTTAGCATTTTATTTTAATGAGAGTTTTCAGTATCAAAATTTGTTGTAGAATGCCATGTTCTTATGAGATAAAAATGGGTTTATTTTGTGTGTGCTAGATGTATACAACAGAAAAAAGTATACAGTATAATCAAACTTTGATTTTTCTCCTGTGTGCATCTTTACACTCATTCTGTTCAAAATCATTTATTATTTCTGCTCCAAAGGTGAATAATTGTCATGCATTTATCAAATTGAACAACTTCAAAAATTAACAATTGCCGTTTGTATTTCTCATCTAATAATGTAAATGTTTTTGACAGATACTACATGACTTTGAACTAGGAAGTCTAGATGAGTGCAGTTTTAATTTATTTTATTAAATGAAGTATAATGTGGGACAGCACTTGTTTACCATACTGTACTACTGAAGACACCTCAGTACAGTTCCTTTGTCATGTATTTGTGGATAATGCTCCATTATTTCTCATGATTTATTTTTATTTTATACATACAGTTTTCTTAGATTGAAATTAGTTATGTTGCCTTCCATCATGTTGGTACTTGATATTCACCTTCCCTGGTATGTATTTCCTGCCCTCTATTTTTACTGAACAGATTTCTATAACTGTAGACTTCTGTGGGAGGTACCCAGTTCAAATCTCAGCCTGCTTACTGCAGCTGTGGAGTTTGCTTATTGGAAGCTCCAAGAATAGAAACTGTGTAAAGATGTACTCCAGCTGAGCACACATTTTTTCAAAATATGTTCTTTGCAGTTTTATTTGTTTGATATTCATGTTCATTTCTTGCAAAAACAAATCTATTGTTGCTAGGTAGATCACACACATACTGCATGGAGTCAGAAGTTATTCCTTGTATTTTGTTAAATGTTAACCGTATCAATAGTGTTTCTAATAAAAGTTGTAGATCTTAACCTTTATTGACTTATATGCAGTGCAGCTGGTTTTACATTGCACTTGTAGAGAAAAGTTCACATCAGTAGCACAGGATATCAAAGTTGATACCATTTTAAAAAAACGTTCCGGTGATCTGTGGCAAGCGTAATTCTACAGACTAAAACTCCACCTTTTTTTTAAACAAATAGCCTCTCACTTTAGTATCACATAAAAGTGAGAATATATTATTCTCCATCAAGTTGGTAGGATAAGGTGATAACCCACCATTGTCTACTGTATGTTTAGTATTCAGACTGCATTAGTCCTTTAAATGGTATGCAAAAATATATAAAATTTATTTTTGTTATGCTTCCACACATTCTGAAATAAACTTCCTCATGAAATTAGGAATTATTGTTTGCATACAGTGCAGCAATGAAAATCAAGTGTTACATGTGGACATTGCTCATTATGCATAGTCATAGGTTAAATCCCAATTAGGACTTGGCAGTTGCATTTATTTTTAATTAATTTACTTATCACTCTGAAACTATTCTGAAACTGACTCAACCCATTCAAATAAAGTGGTTTGATAGATGAATCATAGGAATTGTTTTCAGGAGTAAGAGCAAGCCCAAAATTCTGGGAAAGTGTTAATAAGAAGACAATTCTTTTGTAGTCCCAGAGATTTCTTCAAGTGGAAAGTTGTTCTGGATAAGTTCTTTCGTACATTTTGTCAATGTGTGCAATGAATTGTTAATATTTTCTGAAAAATCGGCAAGGGCTCGTGTAGTTATCTTTACGTTCCTACATAAATAGACCTTCGTTCCAATACGACACAGCGGCCTTGACAGCGACTGTAGTCAGCTGTTGGCACTGTGTTATTGGGTGGAAGGTATAATTGTGAATGTGAGTTAGATTAATTAACATCGTAACCAAAATGGCACGTGTATTAGTTGGCGTGAAGAGGGTAATTGATTACGCAGTTAAGGTGAGTTTTAGGTGTAGTATGAATTAATAAATAGTATATTATAAATTGTAATGAAATATTGCAGTCTTTTTTTCTTGCCGCGGTGAACAAGAACGTCGTTTCTGCGGTTAGGGTTGCTTTCGTTTTCTAACTCTTGAGGTTTATCGCTGCACTGTGGGCTACGATAGGAACCTACTTGTAATACAGTTCACATTATATGGTTAATTTTAATGTCTGTTGATGAGATTCAAAAGGTTTGCCCATTTTAGAAATACCATGGGCAGAGGGCGAATTAGAACTCATTCTGCTAGTTTGCCAGGCATTTAAAAAATTACCCGTGAGTGTTAGGCCTAATACAGACATTCTAACCTTAACTTTATCATTTATGTTTTATTGATCATTATAATAAAACCGAAGCTCCATTAAAGTTTTGAAACAGCCTGTTACGACTTTAAGTGAAATAGATCAAAATCTAAAGAGTTGTGATTGAGGTTAACAGTATATAGTATGGTTGTAAAGATATGCCTTAGAACCATAATCCAGAAATATTAATGCATTTTTCATTTTTAGATTCGAGTGAAGCCTGATAAGACAGCAGTGGTGACAGATGGGGTTAAACATTCTATGAATCCATTTGATGAGATTGCTATAGAAGAAGCTGTGAGACTGAAAGAAAAGAAGATTGCTCAAGAGATTGTAGCAGTATCTTGTGGGCCAGCACAGTCACAGGTTAGAATATCTTTATGATTAAGGTATTGCATTATATATGGTCTTATCAGTGTTTTATGCCTGCTTCACTCTCTCAATTTACATGTGTGATTCTTGATTTTTGTTGTTGTGTTTTCTTTCTCAGTTTCTTTTGATTTGTTACTGGAAAGTTTGAAGTTGTGTCCGTGGTCACTTAAAATCAGTTAGCAGGGGAAACTTGGTACTTGTTAGGATGGTTTACATTCTTTTTATTGACAACTTGCTGCTGTAATCATTTTCAATAATCTTATTCCATAGACAAAATGCATGTTAAATAGAGCAGCTAAGCAGGTAGTTATTAATCATTTTTCATTTTTTTTCTCTATGTTTATTACCATTTAGTTACATTTGTATAGGGATCTAATGTTTGGCAAGGAGATGTGTTTACACAACTAGGAATAACGTTATTGGTGCATAGGTAACTTAATGCAGAGGAGTTAGAGGTAATTGTTTGCTCCGATTCTGAAGTACTGTGGTACAAGGAACAAGCAACAGAAGTGCTTCGGGGAGAAAAACAAATCCATTTGTTATCTGTAGAACAGCAGAGTTTGTGGCAGCACACATAGTTTTGACTTAAACTGTGGTTACATATGGAGACTAAAGACAGTTACAATGAAAGCTCAGTAAGGACGACTGAGATTCAAACAAGGTACCTCTCAAATAGAGGTCTGTATTGTTACCACTACACCACATTACTTGGTGTTTTAGTCAGATGGTTATCACTCCTGTTCCTTGTTCAGGAGACCCTGATTTTGCGTCTTAGTACAAAGCCCGACTATCTTAACTGAGATTTTTGTTAATTTTACTCAGTGTTTTCAAACAAAAACTTTGATAACTAACTAGATGGCTTACCGAACCCGAAGGTTCATCACCGAATTAACCAAAGCCCTCCACCGGACCCTGTACTGGGCCAACAAAATCCAGTCTCCTTCAACTACTATCTCCCATAGATCCCGCCTGACATTATCCTCCCATCCATGTCTAGGTCTCCCCAGCGGTCTCTTCCCCTCAGGTTTCCCAACCAACACCTGGTGCACACCTCTTGTCCCATCCATGCACGCTACATGCTCCACCCACAAAAGCTTTGATAGTATGTTAAAACAGGTTACAGTTTGTCTGCTTATATTCCACCCATTTCCTTATTTACAGTAATCCTGCCATGTGACACTTTGTAATATATGTAGTTTAAAAGCATAATTAAATGATCCAGGTATCAAATCACTAATATTTTTGTTTGTGAGTAAAATTTGGAGTGTGTATTATAGTAAATAAACCATGTATTACAGGAAACCCTTCGAACTGCTCTGGCTATGGGGGTAGATCGAGGAATTCACGTAGAAATTTCTGGCCCCGAGTATGACACTCTACAACCAATACATGTGTCTAAGATATTGGCAAAACTGGCACAGGAAGAGAAGACAGACCTTATCATTGTTGGCAAACAAGTGAGTGAGCATTCACCTTATCATTTGCTGCCAAACACATTCCAGAACATGGCTGATTTTAGATGTATTATTATTGCCTACCTCATGTGACATTTGTACTGATTTTATTCTCATTTATCCATTAGGTATGTCAGTAATACATTAAATGAAAATGTACATAGGAACTGTACATCTTATTAAGTTATTTGACCAGTCATTAATTGTGTAACCATCTGATTTACCAGGCAATTGATGATGATTCCAATCAGACAGCTCAGATGACTGCTGCACTGCTGGGTTGGCCCCAAGGAACCTTTGCTTCAAAGGTGACTGTTATGGAGTAGTGACAGATTTTTTTGTTTTTATCTTATGTAAACATTTATGTTTTAATTTGAGATTCTTTCTTGTTCCTAGCTATCAATTGTAAAGCCTCTTCCCTTCAATGGTCATTCAGATTCCTTATATTTTTGGTTGAGTAAGAGAAATAGTCCCATATGCCAAAAACATTGTATTTTATGAAAGGGTACTTGTGGGTTATTGGGACACATCACTTTAAAAATAGGTTAGGTTAGGTTAGGTTAGGTTAGGTTAGGTTAATGTGTGTGGATAAAGGACATATACCTGAAAGTTATTATATTTTATTTCAATAAATGACAACTAACCTAACCTATTTTTAAAGCGATGTGTCCCGATAACCCACAAGTACCGAAAGAAGTTTTATAACAAGAAAGTCAGAATGTGTTAGTTTCTTTTACAAATATGGGTAAATATTATATATGAATCTGTGTGTTCTGAATTATCATTACATTCATGTATCTGTGTGTATATATATATATATATTTTTTTTGCCTCATTTGTTAGATAGAGAAACAGAATGACGAGCTACAAGTTACAAGGGAGATTGATGGGGGTTTGGAGACTATAAAAATTAAGTTACCAGCAGTTATCAGTGCAGACTTGAGACTCAATGAACCTAGATATGCTACGCTTCCAAACATTATGGTAAGTAATGTTAAGTGCGCTCCTTGTCACCACAACGTGATCTGTCTTAGGGTTACATATGGAGAAGAATGACTCCAGATTTGGAGGGTCGCTGTGAATATATTGAAAAAGCAGTCTCAGACAACTGACAAGGGGCAGTTCTCCACCTGATGGGTTAGGCAGGGTCTAACAACTTCCCATCATAAAAAATAAGCATATGGGGATTCAGACTTGGATGGATCATTCAGAATAACCGAAGTGACTGAAAGTGGATGCGAGATTTGGAGCCGGGAATATCAGTGCTCTGTATAGGTCAGGTTATTTCAAAGCAGTATTAAGAGAATTAGCAAAATATTAGTTAAATTTGTTGGACTTACAGGTCAGATACAATAAGGGTAACACTGAACATTCCTTTTTGGAAATGGGACCAAATATTAGTAGGATGATTAAATCAAGGAGTATGAGATGGGAAGGACATGTAGTATTTATGGGAAAGATGAGAATTTTTTTTTCTTCATATCCAGTACACACCATTCAGCAAGGTGTGCATTGGTGGTTAGCAGGATTCACGACCCATCAGTACATGAGTTCGTTCGGGACCGCGACATTTAACACTCCTCCTGTGACCCCCTTTTCGCGAGATGATGAAAGTGGAGTAGTTGTTGGGATGCCGCAGAGAAACCGGGGAAACCCCGGAGGAAAACTCTGTGATGCCTGGACCATGGCCTTGCAAAACACAAGTTGTAAATCTGAGCACCGCCAGGAATCGAACCTGGGACCCCAGTATTACAAGCCCAGCGTTCTAACCGCTAGACCAAGATGAGAAATGTTGTCAGAATTTTGATTGACATGTCTTGAGCCACTCATAAGACCTACACGTATATGAGACTATAATACGAAAGTGAATATGGAGTTCATTATGTTTCATGGCAATATGTTGAATTTCATGTCACGTTCTGCAGCCATTTGGATTATTTACAGAAAGCCAAGAAGAAACCGATAAAGAAAGTAAGTCCGAAAGACTTGGGTGTAGATACAGCTGCTCGTATTGAAGTGCTGAGTGTCGAGGATCCCCCAACTCGACAGGCCGGCGTCATATTGCCTGACGTTGATCAGCTGATAATCAAACTGAAGGAAGGAGGACATGTGCCATAAACATAATTGAGGTCAGTTAACATAAGATTGTGTATTTTTTAAGTATAGGGTGATCCAAAATTCTATGAGCACCTGTAAGAACAATTGTTGGTTGTGGGAAGTCACATGCGCACATGATATGTGTGTCACGTGACTATGAGACATTGACCGCTACTAGTTGTGCCATTGATAGTGAGCTCTTTGGACCTGCATGTATTTTTACAGATGTACACGGACTTCTGAATTACACTTTATAAGGGTGGTTGGAAAGTATAGTTGCAAGGCCTAATTTAAAGTGATTCAATCTGTCTTCAGTATGTGAGATTTCAGGTTCTCGTAGTGGCAAGCATGAACGGCTGTCTTCTCCGGAACCGTGGTTCCACTATCAGTTTTTACCTGGAGGAACATAGAATATGAAATTGTGTCATATAACTGGCCTCAGGTGGCAAGCCCCCTGCCGTTGGAAAGCGTTTCATAGATTTACATCAGTAGCCAACTACTGATACTGCAGGCCTTACTGGTATTTGGTGCAGTTATTTTAATTTTGGTTTCTTTTAACAGGCTGAAGGCTTTGGATACAAATATAGAATTTGTTAGTAGAAGAGGCACTACTTCAAAATCACTAATCCATTACGGTAAGAAATCTTGTACAGTAAGATTTTATAAACATTTTTATATATTCTTTGTACCAGTGTCTTTGCATCATCAATGTAATTGCCACAAATGTAATTTGTTACCTATATTGTATATCGTTGTTGAATATAATTGTATGCATTGAAGTATATATTTTTTATTATAAATGGATACCATGGGATATTGTATTTTTGGAAATATTCAATATTTACATTACTGGGCTCTCTTAGCAATTCTCAGTAAGGGGAATTTGCTAATTACTGAGCGTCATTGCTGACGTACAGTTACTTTTTCAGGCATACCTACCTGACAATTGGTGACATTTCTAGAGACCAAGATAATTTATTACGTCATTTTTATTCTGATTGAAAATATTTATTGCAAACCCACAGATGTTCAGTACATTTTAACATTAAAAATTACAGTCTATAAAAGTAATTACAAAGATACCACAATTTACAGGAATGTGCAAAATAATGCAGATGCTAATGGGAACATTTTTGCAACTTTTACTTGTGAATGCACCTAAAAACTGGCTTCATATTTACTCATATTTAAGACAACCCCATTTTTGAATGGCAGATATTGAGGAAAAGTATATTTTATAGAAAATTCTTAGATATAATTTTCCTTTACAAATTTAATGTAGTAACAACAATGTCAATTTGAATGATTTTTCTTTAGAAGCTATGCTCAGTCTGTACACAAGTTTTTGGGTATACCACAGATTTGAGAAATTCTAGAAATTTTTTAACTGTTTTTTTTTGTGCATTTTTCTCTGAGAATATGACTACTCCTGATTTTTAAAGAAAATGAAAGTAAAACAAGATGTCTTATGAAAGAGTAAATAAGGGAGTTTGGGTTAAAATCCAAAATATCTTTGGGTTCATAAATCAGTCTTCATAAATCATAACATTGAGCAGTGAACATTGACTTAGCTGAGAATCCTTTGAACAGAATACATTTTCTTTATTTTATTGTAGAGTTGCCATATATATTCGTTTGATGAGAAGTATTTAGAAATGGTTTTATATTACCTTTAAATTGTTCTCGATTAAGTCGAGAAGAATGAGATGGGCGGGGCATGTAGCACGCATGGATGGGACAAGAGGTGTGCACCGGGTATTAGTTGGGAAGCCTGAGGGGAAGAGACCGCTGGGGAGACCTAGACGTAGATGGGAGGATAATGTCATGCGGGACATATGGGAGATAGGAGTTGAAGGAGACTGGATTCTGTTGGCTCAGGACAGGGTCCGGTGGAGGGCTTTGGTTAATTCGGTGATGAACCTTCGGGTTCGGTAAGCCATCTAGTTAGTTAGTTAGTTTAAATTCTGAAAGGGAAAACATGATAATTATGCAAATTCACATGTTAGCAGTGGAGAGATTTTTGATAAAATTTCTTATCATAGTATTTATATCTTTTCTCCACTGTACGCTTTTTTATCCTTTATTTCACTGAGTGGCAACCTATGAAAACTTTAATTTAACAGATAGAAACAGAGTTTCCTTCACGTATGCATATAACTTTTGAACAGTATAGGATCAATACATGTTGCATAGAACTCGTAATCTAAAATACAGTGAAGAAGTTAATTTGTCTGTATTGTATATGATGTGGATCTTCACGTACACACCGTGTGCTATGGTATACCACCATTACACCACAAATACTTCGGTGCATGCCACACGGAATGTGGCAGCGTATCGGGCAGTGTTTCGAACAAGGTGGTGCACTTATAGATCCACTTGATGTCCCAGTCACTCTGTATATGAATACAAAGCAGGATTACTAATCACTTGTGTGAGTTCATGCATCAACTGACTTTACTTTCTTAGAAATTGCCTCTATTATCTGTTGGACAGGGGGCTAAGTTGAGTGCAACGTCAGTTTGGTTATGGAGGGCGAGGGGATGGTACTTGTCCCTGCTCGGAATCAGCAGTTAGGTCACCTATTGACCGAGGTATCGTGGTCATAGTTTTGACAGCACAAATGTATAGTTCCTTTCAGTTACCTTCCAAATGCATGCACAGAATATCATTAATTTATAAAACAAGAACATTTCTGTCAGCTTTATTACACTGTAACACTAAAATCTGTTCGCTTTTTCATTACCCTAATTCCGTTATCATTTAGAATCAAGTACTCTGTATCATGCTTTAAATACATTAAACATTTTGTCCATTTTCTTGAACCTGTCGTTCACAGTTCTACATAGTCATTATCATATACACTTAACATTTACATTATACTATTAATAGACATAAATAACAACATAGAAAAGAAAATATAAATAACATTACACTCTGTAAATTTGAAGGATAAATATTTCATAATAAAACAAAGAATAACACGTATCTTATATTCTGCGTCACAAATGTACCATGAAGGCGCATTCTGCAAGCATCAGAATTAAGGCAAAACATTGTTTAGCATATATCGTCTTTCATTGCAAAGCAAATTATGTGTTTCTGCAGCTAAAAATTTCTATTCTGTGTAGATGTGACAATTCATCTGAGTTCAATTTGATGTGTGCATGTATATACAGGCATTGAGTATTCTAAATGTTTAGTTCAGTGGTCCCCAACGCGGTGCCCGCGGGCGCCCGCCAAGGCTCTTTTTGGGTGTCCGCGTTGATACGGAAAAAGGTTATACTGAATAATGAAGGCCGTTCAACCATGAACATTATAAAATCAAAGCACAGATCTTTACTTACTGACGCCCATCTTGACGATTGTTTGCGAGCAGTAACATCATCTTACACTCCCAAATTTGAAAAACAGGCCGATGAAATGCAGCGCCAAACATCACACTAACTTCCCACTTGAGTAATATTAATTGTACTTTTGATTGCATGGTTTCTTGTATCATTAAACGTTGTGTTGTTTTGTGTATTATTTGGTTTCCATATCTTATTTGTCCAGAGAAAAGAAAATTTGGCTTTGTTAATTGGTTGGTGCCCGACACGATCTCATAAACTCTCAAATGTGCCCGTAGGCACAAAAAGGTTGGGGACCACTGGTTTAGTTCATATAGCAGTAAATTGTCTACCGACATTTTATTATTTTGTGACATGAGTCCAGTCAGGTGTTTGTATGCCAAATATTGTACATAACTGTTCCTGTCTCAGTTTTGTTTGAATTGGGTAGTTTCATTAAAATTTTTAATTTTCGTGGTGTTTTCAGTAAAATGGTGTTGGAGATCGCAATCTTGATCGAAGGTGTTTATATTGTAATGGCACAGTAATGATTTCAACTCATGAATTTGTGAAATAAATCGTATGGACTTCTTTCTAAGGTGGTACCAAAGGAAACAATGAAGATGGGGAAATACATTAATTTTTATTGTTGTTCAGTGCTTGTTAGCTTTCTTAATGTATGCAGTGTCCAATGACTTTTTCATAAACAAGCAAAAGTAATTAAAAAAAGATCTTCATGATATGAACTGTTATAAAAATACTTGGTACTTGTGGGTTATCGGGACACATCACTTTAAAAATAGGTTAGGTTAGGTTAGTTGACATTTATTGAAAGTTATTATATTTTACTTCATTAAATGACAACTAACCTAACCTAACCTAACCTGTTTTTAAAGTGATGTGTCCTGATAACCCACAAGTACCAAATACTTATACTAATTATACATGACAGAAAATTTGGGATATGGCAATCTTTGTTTGCTTTGCATAATGAATGCCTGAAACTAGAACTTGGTTCTATAAGGACACAGTATAATGCAGGATTGGGATTTTAATAATTGTATCCCCACAAATAAGCCGATCAAGCACGATTAGATTCTGTACACATTACGCAGAATATTATGTTTGTAATACTTTCCAGTCAAATCGCATGTTGTTGGAATGGGTGACTGGGGGGAATGGGGCATCCTTTATTTCCCACTTGTTGTCTCCAACATCTTGAACACAGGCCATGCTGCAGTAGGGAATTTTCTGGATGAGACGTGTCATTTCTTGGCTTGTGCGAGGCGCTCCTCCACAAAGTTGACGTGAGCATACATCTAGTGTCGCTGCATGTCCAACCAACAAGATGTTACCTCCTGGAATAGGTAACAGATATAAACACTCAAGAAAAATGGAGAAGAATACAGGTAGGAGCCAAAGAAGAATGATTTTAGATGATGTCCGCAGCTTGGATGATACAGGCAGATGTATATGATGGAAACTGGATGATACCCTGAAGCAGTTTTGCAGCAAAACAGTGCAGAAGAAGATCCAAAAGAATGCTGATGAACCAGGAAGGAAGGTATTCAGAAGGGAGGAAACTGAATATGACGTAAGCCAAAGGCTGGAAAATTTGGAAGGATTTTTGCATCAGGTACAAGAGATGTCCAACTGAATGATCTCACCTCTGTCTGCTGTACTTTTAATGACACTCTGTGCTAGGTAGAAACTGCGCATATAAAACTGTTCTGTACTCTCCCGTCGATCGAGAAGCTCTTCTGCGCGAACAAATGGCTTGTATTCTGGTTTAATGTTATAACCAGTTTCCTGTAGTTCCTTTGTTGACATCCAGTCAGGCAGTGAATCTGGATACCAGGCAAGCCATTCAAATAAACCTGGCTCTATAGCTATAGGCTGGCTGTCTGCTTGACCCAGGCCTGGAATGTAAGCAAAGTACATTACTCTGTATATTCTATAGAGTTTATTGATCTACAGATGAATACTTCTAAGGGAAAGCGGACAACATAATCTCATACTGATTCATTCTCTGAACCAGTGGTCCCCAACGCGGTGCCCGCAGGCGCCAAGGCTTTTTTTGGGTGCCTGCGTTGATACGGAAAGAGGTTATACTGAATAATGAAGGCTGTTCAACCATGAACATTATAAAATCAAAGCGCAAATCTCGACTTCCTGACACCCATCTTGATGATCGTTTGCGAGCAGCAACATCATCTTACACTCCCAAATTTGAAAAACTGGCCGATGAAATGCAGTGCCAAACATCACACTAACTTCCCACTTGAGTAATAATAATTGTAATTTTGATTGCATGGTTTCTTGTATCATTAAACGTCGTGTTGTTTTGTGTATTATTTGGTGTCCATAGCTTATTTGTCCAGAGAAAAGAAAATTTTGGCTTTGTTAATTGGTTGGTGCCCGACACGATCTCATAAACTCTCAAATGTGCCCGTAGGCACAAAAAGGTTGGGGACCACTGCTCTGAACATTACAATGTAGTGGTTGGAATATACCAGGTTTGAATCTAAACCTGATAACACTGGACTTGAGGATGGCTGCAGAAAAATGCAAGGATTTTGAGAAAATCTTCCCCTGCGTCAGCTTGGGCATTTTCCTGTTTGTTGATTTAAAATTTAAAAATTTGTTAAAACTGTTTTTTGGAAGCTGGGTTTTCTTCCATCAACAGGTAGAACCACACAACCTTGTCATTTTATTCTACTCTGCGGCTCTGTTGACAACGTAATAAAATTTATGTTGATGAATTTTAACTTCACATTTTGATACCAAATGTAATTGATTTATTTTGTGCTGTATGTTATGCTGTGGCACAGGTAAAGGGTTATAGCATTTTGAGGGGGTGATCACATTAATTTGTTTCTTTAGCAAGAGTAATAATTATAATTCTTGAATTTTGTGTATTACTATTTAATAATTAATCAATACCAATTAAATATTTCTTAAATATGTGAATTTTAATCATAATATTTTCCATTCAAAAAGAGCTAGTACTGTGTATAATAACTATGTTTACCACATAAGCTGTCTAATTTAATTCCTTACAAGATATTTTGCTTTTAAATTGGGACTTATATTTCTTGTGCTTTCTATAAACATTTTTCTGACCTTTCAATACTCCAGTACAGGTCTGTATACAACGCAGAGATGGAGAACAGAATGTATGATGTACTGTGATTCCTGCTTCCTTCATAGCCTCTCCGATCAGAGTGGCTTGAAGTACCCCAACATTGGTTAATGGACAGTCCTTGAAAAAGCCTTGAGGTCCTGACTTACGAGATGGAACTGTTTTTGGCATGTTTAAGTCCTTCTTCATGTATCTTCCTGCAATATAATATGTTCCGAGTACCAGAAGACATGTCACAACAAATATTCACCGTCAATATCGCTAGTTTTCTGGACATAATCCATTGTTCAGTAATCTAAAATGAGACTACTATGTTTCAGGACCTCGCTGTGGTCCCAAAACATAATTGGTCTAATTTTAGAACATCGAGTGATGGATTATGTCGAGAAGAATGAGTGTTGAATGTAATGCACTGCTGTCAGAACCCTTTATAGTTAAACTCTTCACAGTGTTATGACACTTCTCGAGGAAGGCCTAGTTTCAGGGAGTCTCAAAGGAGGAGGCCACTTGGGAGACCTAGGTGTAGACTGGAAGATAATATTAAAAGGACTCTCTTAGAGAAATATGATATGAGGATGTGGTCTGGATTCAGCTGGTTCAGGAGAGGCTTTTGTGGATGTGGACCGGGTTAAAAAAAGGGAGAATTTTTTGAGTAGCTGAGTATCAATGTTTCAAGAAAGATGTGTACCATGAAGTTAGTTAATTTGTTGGGAATGTGTATGTTTGTATAATGCTGCAATAAAACTTCTCTCAATACCCGTTTCATCAAAACAGTAAGGAATCCACGTTCCAAATGTAAAGTCCACTCTTTCTCCATGTCGAATAATGTAAATATGACGTGGGCCTGGGATTGGCTCAGGAATAATCACTTTTTCAATTTGTGGTTTGACCTGAAAGTAAATAATACTTAATTACATCATCACATAAAATTGACATCTTAAACTCTGAGGCAAAGTGAATTTATGTGAGACAGTTTGTTTCAAGAATTGGTAATGAAAAGCAGCAGATTTTTACCATTAACTTTAAACTTTGGTAAAGGTAGGGAATTTCTTGTTTGTCAAAAAGGTCTTTGCGTAATGGAGTCTGATTTGGCCCTGAATTTGTATGGAGCAAAGTATGAGGGAATATTTGCTTCTGTGTAGCGTGATATCATACAGTTAGCTTTGCAGTGGTTGATTTGTGTCTGTGATAATGAGGTATGGAAAAATGTGTACTCCACTGGAGTATATCTATCCACTCGTGGTACACAAGAAAAAATTCAAATTTAGCACATTAATGTTGTGTATTTGCTTGGATTTGAATGTACATGTGCAGCTAAATTTAGAATAGCTTAAAATATATGTTACAAAAATAACACTTAACTGTTGAACACTGTCCAAACTGGAAACTGCCTCAGTTTAAAACTGGTAAACCAAAAATATTTTAAATGCACTCACGTCTGTCACTGCTGAGGTGGCTTGCTTTTCCTCACTTGAGTCACTAGTAACATCAGATGCC